GGAAGTTGACCCCAGGGAGCATATAGATATTGAAGAGGAGGGGACCAAGGTCAGAGCCCTGAGGAACGCCACACGAGTCAGTCCGGGGGCTAGAGGAAAAGCTATTTGAGGAAATGAAGTGCAGGCGGTGTGAGAGGTATGATCTGAACCAGTCCAGGACCAGTGGAGGTTGAGATGAGAGGAGAGGAGGTGGATGAGAATAGAGTCGAAAGCAGCAGAGAGGTCAAGGAGAGCTATCACACAACATTTATATTTTCTGATTCCTGACTGAATCCATTTATTTCAGACTTTTGAAGTTCAAGTTTTTAAACTGAAGAATGTCTCCAAATTATAATTGAAAAGCATTAATGCCAATCAACCCATTAAAGTCCAGTCAAAGCATGTCCTGCAGTGATAGTGGAAGATTGGTTTGGCTTTCTTTATTGATGAGGTATAAATACCACATACGAGCAGTACCTTCCGGCGTCAGACAGAGTACATGGTAACATCCCTGGATAAGGATGGCAATCTGATCTTATCTCTGATTCTGGAGATTGGTTGATGTCTTAAAGTGAATGCCAATTTATGCTCTATTAGGATAGCTCATTAATTGGTCCCACTCTGAAGCGGCGTATGATAATAATAATAATCTTTGAATTTGATCTAGTACCTTTCGCGTCGGGAGGTGCTCAAAGCATGGATTTACTGCAAAGTGAAGTGGTTTTCTCTATGTGATTGGATTCTAAGTGATTGAGGCATTCCTGACTATCCAATGATGAACATCGTGCAACAAATTGTAAGACGGAATTTGGCTCTTCTTTTAAATTAAAATATTGTCGAAAAAATCGGGGTCCAACCCCATCCTTCTGAGGTGCTGTGACATATCTTACGTGAAGGGCCATATGAATGCAAACCATATAAATGCAAACTGTTATATTGTTCCCTTGAGAATGATTGCTTTGTATTAGCAGTGTTCACGTTCCACATTCACCTGGGGAAATAATGGTAACCTTGAAGCTGAGTAGTCTCTTTGGATTAAATAGCAGTATTTGTCATCAGCTGCTCTTGATTAGCTGCAAGTGTACAGATCAGGGATATCCTCAGTCTGTGCTGAATGAGCTCAGGGCACCAGGAAAAACACTACACTTGGCTTCAGCCTGAGGTCTAGGAAAGGGGAAAACTAGAATTTTGTTTTGATCAGATTTTGTAAGTCTGACACTCGCGGAAACCCATCACCATGCTTAAGAATATCCAAACCAGATTGAGAATTCCACCAATGCATGGAAATTTTCCTATGTCTGTTTTAGAGTGTCTACTCTTTTCCCAGAAGAATGCATTCCATTTACCTAAACCTGGAAAGTATTAGGTGTAGGTTTGGCAAGATCCTTCTCACCCCCTCACCCACCCCCCTGGGGGATAGTAGCCGCTAGTTGGTCAGTGTAAGCAGTGCTCCCTGCTTGTTGGCCTTACCAACTCCTCCCTCCACAAGCTGCAGATCATCCAGAACTCTGCAGCCCGTGTCCTCTCCCGCACCAGGCTCCATGATCCTATCAGCCCCATCCTCGCCTGTATCCACTGGCTCCCCATCACACAGAGGATACAGTTCAAGATCCCGGTCCTCACCTTCAAAGCCCTCCATGACCTTGCTCCCCCCTACCTCTGCCACCTCCTAACCCCCTATCAACCTGCCTACTCCCTCCACTCAGCGGGTCCGGCCCGCTTCACGTCCCCCGCCTTGCCTGCCCAACCATTGGCGAGCAAGCCTTCAGACACTCTGCCCCCACCCCCCAGAACTCCATCCTGCAGTCCCTCCATCTCATCCCCTCCCTTACCTCTTTCAAGACCCATCTCAAGACCCTCCTCTTCGACCATGCCTTCGGTCACCCTCCTTCCCCCCCTGCCCTCCACTCTCCCTGATCCTGACCCCCAGTTTGGGTCCGAAACACTGACTGTTCAACTCCTTAGGACATCCTCCTGACGTGAAAGGCGTTATACAGTTGTAATTTTGTTGTTGCTGTCATTGTTCTCTCCATCACCAGGCTCTGTGAGCCTATCAACCCCACTCTCGCCCGGCTCCGCTGGCTCTCAATCCCCCAGAGGATAAAGTTCAACATCCTTGTCCTCACCTTCAAAGCCCCCTACTGCCTTGCTCCTTCCTACTTCTGTGACCTGTTAACCTCATATCAACCTGTCCACTCCCTCCGCTCAGTAGCCTCCAGGCTGGTACATTTCCCCAGCCCTCAGCCTTCCTCTGCCCCACTCTTTGGAAGTCCATCCCACAGTCCCTTCGCCTTGCAGGAAAGTCTCCTTCAAGAGAATTCTCAAGATCCACTTCAACCGTGCCTTCAGCCACCCTCTTACCCTCCTGAACCCAGCCCCCTGTTTGGATCCAAATACCTGACTGTCCAGCGCCTTGGGACATCCTCCCGATCTGAAAGATACAATTATAATGTGTTGTTTTTGTAAACAATCCGACAAGGGAAAATCATTAAAGGGTTCTGCTGGTTAGTTGCTTCTGCAGAAATTCTTACCAGCCAGATATGGGGAGAGGAGGAGATGTTGATTGGGTGGGAGGGGGGAGATTTGAGCATGATACCAGGTGGGTAAGGGACAATGGGTAGACAGGATACAATAATAATAATAATAATTCTTGCTTTTGATTTGGAGGCCTTATCACGTCTTTGAATCGTCTCAAAGAATTGAAGTGAATTGACTGTATATTTTGTGGGCAAAACGCAGCAGCAGCACAGCAGCGTCCCACAAGCAGTCAGTCTTCACTGAGTGAAGGGAGCAGCTGGATTTGTTGGGTAATAGGAGGTTGCATTACCATATTTACTTGAATCGATGGCACCACTGAATCTAAGTTATCGGCTGATTTTTGAGGGATTGGGAGGTAAAATAATACACCACTCTCCTATTCACAGAAAAAAAAGGACTTGCGCTACACATTTTACCGTCAAATTAAAAAAAATTCTTTCTCTAACTCTTTCTTATATCTCTTTGTTTTTATTCTATTTATCTTTGTGGGTTTCTCTCACTCTGACTTTCTTTCTGTCTCTATCACTATTTGTACATCTCTCACTCTCTATGTTAACCTGTCATGTGCTCTGTCTCTTTCTTTTTCTGACTCTCTCTCAGTATCTCTGTCTCAGTCTCTGTTCCTACCTTTAATCTTGCACTCTACCTGGAAAAAGAAAATAAACAGTACCTGTTCGCACAGGTATTAAAATTGTGTGCAGACATTGAGCTCAAGCCATTAACTTATTTTCCAATAACTAGAGATGATATTTGCATTCAGTGACAATTATCCTGGAGGAATGTTCTGTTCTCTCAGATCAGACCTTCGCTCTGTAAACACAGACAAAAATACTCTCAACATATTTATATGGTGATTCAGTAATTTTAAAAGGGTGATAATCTCTGGCTGATATGGGCAGAACTGAGGTCACATGTTTTGATGATGTTAGTCAAATGTTTTGGGTTATTCTAATAGGAGCATTCAATTGGATCTTAAATTGGTAAATCTGATTAGGAAATGCATTGAAATGTGCATAAATCCACAGATATGCCTGGCTGCTTTCCTCTCCTCCCCCTCCCCCCCTCCCCATCTCTTTTGCCCCTGGATATAAATTGTGAGTGTTAAGGTTTCTCTGTTAAGAGTCAGGAAAGCATCCTGTATACAGTATAGGAAAGGAAGCCACCGTCTGTGTAATGGGAATGTTAAGGAAATGTGTATGTGACGGGTGCCTGTTCCAGTCCACCAAACAATAAATGAGTATGCGACTCGGGCACTGCTCGCTCTATTAACACTTAATTATTGTTCTGGAAGTTTAGACTCTCCTTGTGTGTATGTGTGTGTGTATTTGTGTAGCTTGCAATGCTCAATGAAGTCAGACTTATGCTTTGATTGCAAAACCACACATTGTTTCCATTTTCCTTGGGGAAATCACTGCCTCAAGGGGAGAGGGGGACTTTTAAAAAGACAGCTGCACACAGTAAGTTTCAGATTTATAACTAAAACGAGTTCTGTTTTGTCTCAGTGGTTTTCCGTTCATGTTTGCAATTGTCTTTGCTAATATTTAACAACTGTAGGGAAAAAAAACTAATAGGAACTTTTATTTTATGTATGTGCTTCATTTAATGTGCGTGTGAACAAATTTCTTTGTGCTTGGTTTGATTACAATACTGTATTTTTGCGCAAAAGAAAGTGTGATAAGACTAATTTTAGAGTGGTCCTATCTTTCCAAGCTGTCTCTGGCTAGTATTTGGATTATAATAATAATTGATAATCCTTGCATTTGATATATCGCCTTTCACGTTGGGGGATGTTTGAAAACGCTTCACAGGTACTTTACAGTAAATCCTGTGAAGCGCTTTCAGATGTCTTGACAATGTTATAAAACACTATATCAAATGCAAGGATTAAATTTTATTCTGAAAAGTGGTGTGACTGTGTATTTTGTCGGTGAGCATATCAGCCAATTTGCACACAGCAATGTCCCACAAACAGCCATGAAATGAGTGACTAATTTTATTATAATCAATGCGAGAATACAGGAAAGAATTGGCCATTTTCATAAATAAACATTCCTTTCACACTCAGCAGATTTATGTTTTGCTGCATAGTTGTGTGTGGAAGTGTTTACACCACATGTGTGGCTTGGGAAATAGAGAGCGTTTCCATACCTCCGACTTACAAATGAGTTGACAATATACATTCATTTTAAGTTTCCTGAAAACCTATAGAATGTAATAGATGCTGCCACTTGTGAGGTTGACAAGAGTTAATGCACAATGTATTGTATGATTCTGTCAAGCTTTCTTAACATATTCCACATAGCTGTTGCCTATGACATATGCTTTGTGTTTAAAGTTGCAAACCTCGTCTCCTTTTAAACTGCCCTGGTGCACTTTGTATATTAAATGGCTCTTCAGACTGGATTGTTGGACTGGGAGGTACTGCGGCAGGAAAAACCAGGAGAAAGTCATGTGGACTGAAAAGTTAGACACCTGTTGGGCCCCTGACAGAGAGCAGCACAGGGATTGAACTACCAGTGGCTTCTTTCAGCTACACTACAACCCACTGTTCAGCTGAGAGCCATTAATGTTAAATAAAGGATATGTTTTACTGTCATTTTGCCAGTTTATGTTTTTTTAAAGATCAGTTGGACAGCTTGCAGAAGTACTATGTTTGTAAAGTGCTTGAGAAAAGGCAGCTGTAATTCTTAGGTGTAGACTTTTGTAAAACATTAGCTCCAGTCTAGAAAATGGAAGGGAATTCAACCTTCGAGTCTGAGCAGTGCCTGAAAGAACCAGAAAGCAGACATGTTAAGGGTGAGTAACAAATTCACTAAACGGATGGATTACTGTATGAACACCGGCTGACTGCATTCTAGAGAACCAGAGTTTACTGCTACATAAATCAGAATGAACCTGTAAAACTTGTAGTAGTTTGCTGCTTACCCTCTGTGTATATGTGTATCTGTGCGTGTGTGTGCTTGGATATGTTTTACAGGAAACGGTATTAAAATAGCCTTAATGCGTGGCATGTTCATGTTGATCTCCGAAGTGTAAATGGAGTAACTCACTCAGCCAATGTGACACTGGAAATGCTGTTCTCCCTAAACAAGGAGAATGAGTGATCTTTCTTTGTACCACTTTGTACTGCAGCAGGACTTTTATATTGTACCACAAGAGCAGTTGCCCTGTTAAAAGTGTAGCAGCACGTTTTTTTGTGCCAAGGACAGACTTGATGTTAAGTACAACAACAGGATCTCTAAATATAATTTTTAGCACTGTTGGAATGTTGGAGGATTAGATTTTTTGCTCATTGCGAGAGCTCAGAATTTAATCTGGATTGGAGCCAAGTAATTCACTCGTTTATTTTCTGTGGGAGCATTTGAAATTCTCACTGTATTTAACTAGTTTTAAATTCCTAAAACACCAGTCAACTCCGATTTAATCTTCAGTTTCACGTTTGTCTCTAAGAAACCACATAGTTCCTCTGTTGGAACTGGAGAATTCTGCTATTATTATCTTTTTTATGCAATCCAGTATGGTTGCAGTGTTAGGTTTTGGTTTTGAATGACTATCCAAGCTTTGAGCATAGGAAGGCTCTTTGTATAGCATAATTGGGCAGTGAAGAAAGATTTCACTTCCTTTATTAAAAAATGAGATGAGTACACTAGACCACGCCTAATGTAATAGCACATTTAAATCCCTACGGTGCTGAACTACTAGATGTTACACACAAATGTGTATGCCTGGTTTTAAGCCCACCAGTTTTACTTGTACTGTAACTTTTTTAAAAAAGTTTATTTAAAGAAATGAAAAGCTAAGGGGGGGAGTACAGTGATGTTAGTTAAGGGTTTAAGGATCTGAGCAAAGAAGGAATGATATGTGATTTAATTTTAAGGCTTGTTTATTCACTTATAGCTCACAAAATATACAGTGAATTCATATTACAGTAAATTCTGTGAAGCGCTTTGAGATATCTCAAAGACGTGATGAGGCGCTATATAAAATGCAAGGATTATTATTTTGCCATTGTTTGTTTTGTGTTTTTTTGGGGTTCCGGAAAGTTGAATAGAAAATAAATGATTGATGCAGCCTGCTCGTGGGATATAACAAGTAATTACTGTTAATAGTTCTGTTGAATTAGACTGCTTCTTTGGGTGTAGATTTGTTGACGAATGACGAACAGTGGAGACATTTTTTTTGTGGTGGTTGAGTTTTTCTGGTTGTGCTTAGCATTGTTCTTGTGAAAAGTATGCATAGCAAAGAATCTCATTTTGCAGATCATTAACCGGATATGTGAAAGATCCAATTGATAACTGCTACTCGAAGGGTTAATTTAGCAGATAACAGCATTCATTCCAAAGAATGTCTGGAACTGACTGACTCTCTGGGCTTTGGCCCTGATGCCGACTTTTGGTATTTGCCCTTTGATCATTAATCTTCCTCATTCTGAAATCTTACCAAGGGTGTTGGATTTCAGTGTTTGTGTGTTATGTTGTAACTCAGTTGCCTTGAATCTGAAAGTCAAACTGCAAAGGTTTCGAACCTGCTCTCGATGCCAGCTCTACTCCCTGTTTGATGTCTCCCCCTTTTCTTTAATGGCTGTTTTGCATGCTACCTATGTTATTTCCAACTAGTTGGGGTTATTAGATTTCAAGATCCTGCCGGATTCCTTCCTCAAAATCCTGTTTTTTTGGTGTGTGATTCCTGCAACCTTGTCCTGTTTTGTGATTTAAGTCTAGGGCTAAAAGGTCCCTCATGGTCAACTTGAACTTCAATGTTTTAAAATTGTCTTTAATATCGAAGGTGGTTCAGAATATCAAATTCGGTCAGCCTTGATTTGGCGATTGTTTTTCTCTTTAAGAATGGTGGAAAATCTACTTCTACATTGAGAGTGAATCTTCCAAAATCCTGCATGATCTTACATTTTAAACAACAGTCTTCAGCTAAAGATCATTATACATTTCGGGCATCTTTTGGGTTTTTTTTGAGTCAAAAGTTACCAAAAAGTGTCTTTTAATTCAGCCAACTGCACTAACACACTTCAGGCTGGGTTGAATTTCCGATTGACTTATTATTTCTTTCTATTACTGTTGAACAGTATTGAGTTGAAATGTTGCATTATACAACAACCCCAAGGCATTCCAATAAAGTCAGTTAAAGCAAAGAAGTATTGAGGTCAATTTTACATGTAAAAATCAGCGAACAAAGTTGTTTTGATAGCAGAGACTAGGAAACCAGGTTAAAGTAATGATACTGTATTTGTTTTACATTTTATCCACTAGGTGAAGCTAGAGGTTTCATTTTAGGGCACGTATATGCTGTGCAACTCAATGGTGTGTTGGAGGGAAAAGGGAAGAGAGGGTTAGCTGGATGAGTGCAAATTTCCTTCAGCTAATCGTTGACAAGATGGAAGCCATACTCTTTGGCTCACGTCAACATCTAAAATCTCATGGCTCTCACCTCCTCCATCTACCTGACCTCCCCCTAAAACTCTCCGAACCCGTACGCAACCTAGGCATCAGGTTCAACGTCCAATTATCCTTCCTCCCCCACATCTGGTCCCTCACCAGCACTGCTTTCTTCCACCTTCGACGCATCACCCGTCTCCGCCAATCTCTCCCCAAAAGCCGCTGAAACCCTGGTCTATCCCTTTGTCACCTCTCGGCTGGACTATTCTAACGCCGTCCTCGCCGGTCTCCCCTCCACTACCATCCATAAAATCCAAATCATTCAAAACTCTGCCGCCCGCATTCTCACCCGCACTAACCTCCGCTCCCAGATCACCCCAGTCCTTGCCAGACTGCACTGGCTGCCTGTCTCAGAGAGGATCGACTTCAAGATCCTCACCCTTGTATTCAAGTCCCTGCACTCCTCTGCACCCCCCTACCCCTCTTATCTCCTCTCTCCTCAAAACAGTACCCGTTGCCTTCGTTCCTCCGGGTCTGGCCTCCTCCTCGTCCCCCGAGTCCTCCGCTCCACCCTCGGTGGCCGTGCCTTCAGCCACTATGCCCCAAGGCTCTGGAACTGCCTTCCTCACTCCCTTCGTCTCACTCCCTCCCTTCCCATTTTCAGGTCACTGCTGAAGACCTTTCTTTTCGACTGCGCCTTTGGTCACTTTCTCCCCCCCTTCCTCGGCTTGGTCCCGGGATCCGTTACTGTAAAGCGCTCTGAGACGCCGTCCGGTGTGGAGGGCGCTATATAAATCCAAGTTGTTGTTGTTGTAGAAAATAAATTTTACTGCTTGTCTGCACAGGAATGTGGAAGGAAACTGCCTGGATGGTTAACTGTTTCTCCCTTACTTAATGAAGGACTTGGTGTGTTTGTAAACTATATGGTGTACATGCATGAAGAAGAAAGGAATGAAAGGGTATGGGTAGAGGGGACTAGGAAGGGTTGAGGTCCCAGGTGGAATATACAAATGCAAAGTCACAACTCTTTACACTCTATCCTGTTTACTGAAGCACTTTCAGACATTGTCCTGACATGGAAGGTACTACACTAAATATAATAAATCAATATTAAACACCAGTATGATCTAGTTGGGCTGATGGCATGTTTCCGTGTTGTCACGTTTTATGTAATTCTGCACTATCTGCTGTTAAAATTGATGAGAAGGGGAGAGATAAGAAACACAGATGAACATATAAAGGGTCAGTCATCCAACTTCATCTAATCCAAATGGTAATAAAACAGTACACATTAGTTGTCGCTACTTAGTTACTATGAAAAATGGTGACAATTCCAATGCAGATTAGCTTTCCATTATAATCCACCACTAATACTTAGCATCTGTTAAACCCATTTTTATTTTAGACAGCTCTCTAACCAATGGCACTTCTTTAACATTGCAGATTGCATTGGCAGAGGTTACATTTACAGTATATCCTTACAGTAACTACTTGCCTGCCGTGGTCCAATGTAGGTGGAGGAATTGCACCACTGGTAATGGGGACAATTCTTTGTTACTTTGCAAAAGAAAATTCAAGAGAAAATTTACTTGCACTAGCACCAGCATGAAAATACATCCGAACAAGGTGAATTCTCATCCCTCCCCCCCCCACCCCGCCTCCCTTCACATACATGCAGTGGAATTGAAGCTTATGATAAGAAAAGGACATTCAGAATATCAAGCCCATTCCATTCTCACACACATGGAAAGCTTATCCTATTGTGGACTTCATGTCACCCACTTGATTTCAAGATTTTGCATAGAAACTGTCCAAAAATAAACAAGCAAGAGTCACTGTCTTCTTCCAAATCTGTCTCTCCGGGATTCAACCTGGAATCCTTACTTCCACATCAAAATTCCCTCTCCCCAAGCCCCTTCAGGAGAGAAATCATTGTGTCCCATGAAGTATTGGCTCTGTCAGTTTGCAGTTAACCCCTATATCTTCCAATAGTGTTGTCAGACAGATATTTATCTAGTTCTTTATTGAATGAAAACAAAGGAAGCTTGCAAACCTTTTTTGTATGAACTCGGGATTGTAGTCCATTGATATTAATATTGTGTTTCTATTAAAAGTTTTTATTTTGTCTGAAAATATTTCATGCCGAAAACTTAATCAACAAAATAGAAATTGTAATCAGATTTTATCCTCCCTAGTGCTAGGAAGGCTAGGGCCAATTTAGCCACCCCATGCAGCCCTGGCTGAGACAAGGATTGTCAAGCATTGACTAGCAAATCACTGGTCTATAAACTGTAGTTTTATTCCTCTCAGCATCAGGGCTGATCCTGCTATAACAATTAATTGTATATTATTCGTAATATTGTCTATAATTTTTTAAATTTTCACCCCATTAGCATATCCTCTGCT